CAGAGTATGAAAGTGACGAGCTCGATAAAGAGAAGCAACTTTAGCAGATGCTAATTTTGCAACGGATTTGATATAAGGTTTCCAAGGATGATTAGAAGTAAGAGTTAATCCTAGAAGATAAAGGGTAGGAGACTCATCGAGTACATTACCGTTCATAAATATAGGAAGGTCTAAATTATTGCGATAACGATTGGCCGAAAAAAATTGAGTTTTATCTGAATTAAAGTTCACCAGCCACTGTGAGCCCCATGCTGTAGCAGAAGTGAGATCTTTTTCAAGCTCAGATGCCCCCCGCAAGCAATCAGAGGGAGTTGGCTTCTTATCGTGACAAGAATAAATAGTAGTATCATTGCGAACAATGCCACCTTAGATGTGAGAATATCTGGAAGATCGTTAATGTAAATTAAAAAGAGTTGAGGGCCAAGGATTGAACCTTGGGGAACCCCTGAGGTTACTGAATAAGAAGAAGAGTGCTGTCCATCAAGGACAACTTTTATACTACGATTGGAAAGGAAGGATTCAATAATCTTAAAGATGTTTCCAGATGCACCATAAGAAGAAGGCTTATGGAGGAGACCAGCATGCCAAACTTTATCAAACGCTTTAGAAATCTCAAGAGCAATGGCCTTAACCTCTCCACCTTTATCTAATGCGCGATAAAACCTATCGGTTGTTACTGATAGCAAATCAGCCGTAGAACGAGAAGATCGAAATCCATACTGATGATCAGAAAGTAGGGTATGAGATTCGAGATGAGAGATTAAGTGTTTGTTAATTAAAGGTTCAAAAACCTTGCTTATGATAGGAAGAAGATTAATGGGACGGTAGTTAGATGAGTCAGGTCGCTCTCCAGAATTTTTAAAAATAGGGATAACAGATGCTGCTTTCCAGCAGGCTGGAAAACAAGACTCTGATAAGCACTTGTTGAATAGTTTTGAAAAGATAGACGACAGCTCAGGAGAACACTTCTGCAAGACTATAACAGGTATGTTGTCCGGGCCGCAAGCTGTAGAAGAGTCTAAGCGGGAAATCACTTTAGATACAGAAGCTGGAGTGATACGAATGTCAAGCAATGGATCAACCTGTTTGAAGGGTATATCAGGTAAAACGCAACTAGTGGCATCAAGAGATGATATTGATGAAAAGTTCTTGGCAAACAATTCAGTTTTGTCTTTAGGTGAGGTGACAAAGTCTGAACCATACAAAAGAGGTGGAATTACAGACTTGCCCTTATTATTGATACTATTAAAGATTCTCCAGAAGTCACGAGAGCCTAATTTTTGTGATGAAATACAAGATTTTATGATCTGAGAATAGCGGGCTATGGCGTTAGACAAAACCTTTTTACAATGGTTCCTAGCAGTAATAAACAGACGTCTGTTTTCTGGAGAATTGTTTTGCTGATAGATATGGAAGTAATGGTTTCGATTGGCAATTGCAGCAGCACAATGTGAGGAAAACCATGGAGAAGAGTGAGGCTTGACCTGGAATCGTCGAGAGGAAATAAAGGATTCTATGCCAGCCCAAATCCACGAAGTTATGTAAGAAGCACATTTGTCAACAGGGAGACGAAAGATTTCTACCCAGGGGCCATCACGAAGAAAATCACGGAAAGAGTCCCAGTCAGCTTTAAGGTAGTTGTAAGATGTACGATGATAGGGGGATTCTAATGATAAAGAAGAATGAGATAATAGTTTTAGAGAGACCAAACCATGATCAGACGCACCTAAGGGTGAGTGTGAAGAAACTGAGTACTGACTAGGATCAGAAACAAGACATTAGTCGAGTAGAGAAGGTAAATGATTCGGGTTGTCTGAAAAGCGAGTTATAAAGTTAACTATTTGAGTTAGGGATTGAGAAAGGCAAAAGTTGTGGGCCTTATTGCCTGCAGAGTCACTGACACTAGAGCCAATCCATTCAGTGTGATGAACATTAAAGTCACCGACAACAACAATATTGGCTGATGGATAAAGAATGAGGGCTTGGTCAATATAATCAGAAATAATATCAAGAAGAGTGCTGTCTTGAGATGAGGGAGAGCGATATAGAACAATGAGAAAGGTGATAGAGTGAAGTGGTGCTAAACAAAAGCACATAAAAGAGTAATCTGTGGATTCAAACCTAGTTTCCCGACAAATGGGTGAATTCTTACGAATGTAAATACCTAGGCCAAGCATGTGACTATTGGAGTCTTTACGAATTAAAGGAAGATAACCATCAACATTAAGATCACAAAATGAGAAAGCTGAACTCAAATTAGTCTCACAAAGAGCAAGTAGGTCTGGTGAACTTTGCAAGAGATAAGGCTCAACAGAAGAAAAGTTACTTCGAAGACCACGAATATTGGTGAATGATGGGTTTAGCGAACTTGGTGATGACTGTAGTTTTTTGTGTTTTATAGTTTTTGTTACTTTATTCATTTTTAAATTTGTCAAAGAGCTGGACTCGAAACATAGATAGTACTCGAAACATAGATAGACTCGAAACATAGATAGTACATTGTTTTATAGCTCAAGCAATTGGCTCATTTCCACTAATAAACCCTAAGCCGTAATAAAGGGCTCCAATGTTTCCTTGGCAATGCACACCAAAAGTACAAACAGGGACACCATCCATGCGCAACATGGCACTGTTAGTACTCTGATATTTTTTAGCTGTTGATGGAATCAGCCTATCTGAGAGCTACCACAGAGTTCGGGAAACCTGACTACCAGCCGGCCTCAGAACCATAAAACTGAGTTTTAGAACTGTAACCTCATTTGGAGATAATAGAGTGAGTTGCCAAGTCATAAAAACAGAGACACAAGCAAATCCCATGAATCGAGTCAAGAAGATATATATATATATATATATATATATATATATATATATATATATATATATATATATATATATATTATATATATATATATATATATATATATATATATATATATATATATATATATATATATATATATATATATATATATATATATATATATATATATATATATATATATATATATATATATATATATATAATATATATATATTTAATATTTATTATATATAATATTATATATAATATAATATGTATTATATATAAAATTATATATAATATAATATATATATATTTAATATTTCTATATATATATATATATATATATATTTTTGCTTAATAAAATGTTATGTGTACCAACATTTTTGGATCCACAATATAAATTACTTTATCAACATGAAGATGAAAATGTTGTTAAGGAGTGGGTTGAAGACTATATATAATATATAGTCTTCAACCCACTCGTTAATAACATTTTCATCTGCATGTTGATAAAGTAAATTATATCGTGGATCCAAAAATGTTGGTACACATAACATTTTATTTAGCAAAAATTTATCAAGTCTTTTAGTAACAGATTTTATTAGTTTATCAATAATCGTCATAATCCCAGCGTATATATCACCTGATGAAGCTTTTTGTAATAAAACTTTTAATGCAAGAACAGATGGTATAATTTGTCCGCAAGTTTCGTCCCTCCTACCACATTTTTTTGTTAAGTTTTCAAATGGAGCAAGAGTGTAAGCAAGTTTTTCGACTATTCCCCATTGATAATTAGTAGGAAGTTTAATTTCATCATATTCTGCTGCATAGGTGGCCAAAAGAACTTTTTGTTCAAACGTTCTTTGTAGCATTTTAAATGAACTGTTCCAGCGAGTTGGAACATCTTGTTTCATTTTGTGAGGTACAGTACTTAACTGCTGCTGAATTGATTTTAATTTTGCACATGCTATTGGCGAATGATTAAAATGTGTCGTTATTCCCGTATCTTCAACAGTAGAAAATAGCTAAATATCCAATGTGATAAGTTTTCCTATTATTTTATGGATTCGAATAGATCTGTGGTCATCAATATTTCAATATTTTTTTTTGTGTAAAGCCTGAATAATTTTACTTTGTAATGTATTGGTGGTAGAAGCAACTGAGGCTTCAGAAATAGATGGCAATGATTGAACCTTTTTTTTTTCTTCCGCAAGTTCAAACTCTTTGGAATGCTTTAAACGCAAATGTTTTACCATTGCTGTAATTCCATAAGGCTTGAAAGATTTTCCTCCTCTCGTAACTAAACTATCACATAGTTTGCACTTACTCATATGAGGAGTCGTGCTTACATCAAAGAACTTCCACGCTATACTTTTTTTGTCATAATTTTTCTTTCAAATAAAATTTCTATAAAGATAATGAAACTAGTTTTGATATCAAATTTTTCGTTTATTTTATATAAAAAGATAATTTTTTTAATAATACGCTTGAAATTAAAATATGAAAAATGTGTATTATATTTAGCTTAAATCTCTACTTTTATGATTTTTGCTTGATAGGAATGAAAAGTGCTATAAGCGTTCGAAAGCCTTATAAGCGTTTCATTCAAAACTAAATTGCTAAAAATTGTCTTATGTTCTAACAGAATAAAAAGAAGCTATTCTAAAACTTTATTTCCCATTCTTTTTATTCGTATTCTCGAATTATTTCATTTAGCGTTACAGTTTTTGTATCCGTACAGTCATTACGGGTAACTTTGAACGGTTTGCGCTAGGTTTATCTCTACAAAAATTGTTTTACTAACTAGATAACAAATATTTTTACATAAAGGGTGTTCTGATGATCTCTTTTTTCTAGTTTGTTATCATTTTTTTAAATTTGCTAGATATTATGTAAAAAAACAATGTTCAAGTAGGCGTTCAAAGTTACCCTCGTATTTCGGGTAACTTTGAACACTATTAAACTGAATGTCAATTTTAATCTTATAAATCTAAAAAGTTGTTTAAATTTCTTTGTATTAGTTTAAATTAATTTTTTAAAAAATCTAGTTAAACTATTTCGAGAATAAACAAACAAGTTTTTCAATAAAATATTTCTAGAATAAACAAACAAGTTTTTCAATAAAATATTTCGAGAATAAACAAACAAGTTTTTCAATAAAATATTCACAAAATAATTTTTAAGGTTATAAAAGAAAAAATAATTAAGACATTAATTTTATATAATTCTCCACAAATAAACACCATTGACTATAAAACTAAATATTACAGTGTTTCATTCTTTTAGTCTTGAGTTACAACTAACTCTTTTACAAAATAATCATGATCAAGGAAAACATGTACATAGTGATTGTTTATTTGCTCCAATGAAAAACTGCATCATTTTGAGATACAGGTAAAACTTGTTCATTGTCTTCAATAACTTGATTAACATTTACGATGCTTGAACTTTATAAAATATTAAGTTTTTTGTTTATTTTCATAACCATATTATTTGATCCAAGTGGTCTTCCTCTTTTCTTTGCTCGAATATTATCTTGACTTTTTTTTTTATTGTCTCTTTCCTTATAGTATGCTTCTGCCTCAGTGGCTGATACACTTTTCCCTGCTGTTATTGGTAACTTAAATTTTTTGCTTACTTCATAATTAAGATGAATATCATCAACATAATTCCTAAACGATTCTCCAATATTGAGTTGAATATTTGTAAAACTGGGTAATTTGGAGAGAACATGTTCTGATACAAATGGATATATGCCAGTAGCCTTAAATCCTGCTTGGAGATTATGTTCTAGATTTTCTTTACCAACATTAAGAGTAGGTTTAATGAGCTGCGTAAACAAATTTTTTGGCAGGTTATTAACCTTTTTTCCTCTGGATGTTTTACGCCATTGATTAAAAACTGACCTCCAATCAGCTTTTAAACTCGAGAAATATCCAACATCTAAAGGTTGTAAAAGGTGTGTGGAATTGGGTACCAAACATATAAATGTTATATTATGCTTTTCACTTATATTTAAGGCTTTTAAAGATATATGAGCACTTAAATTATCGCAAATCAGAATTTTTTTACCTTCCTTATTTATAATATTTGGAACAAAGTGATTTAACAGCCACTCTTCAAATATTTGAATTTCCATCCAGCCACTGCAAGAAGTTGCCACTCTTGATCCTTATGGTGCATTGAAAACCCAGTCAGACCAACTGTGTTTTCCTTTAACAATGAAAAATGGTGGAATTAGTTTTCCTGAGGCATTTCCACAAAAAACGACAGTGTAACAAGTTTTTGTTGTGTTTCTTATAAGTTCTGGATGGCGAGAGGATCGACGAAAAATAAGTTTTTTTTTTTCAGGGTCATCATGAAACCCTGTTTCATCCATATTGTAAATGTTATCTGGCGTTACTCCATTTAATTCCTTCTCTAGATTTTGAAAAAATAATTTTATTTGACAATAATTATTCTGTGCACGTTTCCTTGAAATACAATGAGATTTGACTTTTTTCTTTTAATGATGGATGCCTGTCAAGATAAAGTTTACACCACTCCCAACCTGGTCGGTTATCTTTAAACTGTTGTATATTTTTTCCACTATCATCCAGATAGATTTTGACAATACTTTTAAAATCATTAATTCCAATTGGTATACCTTTGTCACTTAAAAAAACTCAGTTTAATGGTTCTGAGGCCGGCTGGTAGTAAGGTTTCCCGAACTCTGTGGTAGCTCTCAGAGAGGCTGATTCCATCAACAGCTGCAAAATATCAGAGTATTAACAGTGCCATGTTGCGCATGGATGGTGTCCCTGTTAATGCTTTTGGTGTGCATTGTCAAGGCCACATAAGGAGCCCTATGTCACGGCTTAGGGTTAATTAACAGGACTGAGACAACTACATAGCTCATTGATTAGGAGGCTGTGCTCTATCTATGAATGAGTCAAGTTCTCATTAATCCCAAATCATGACCAAAGTAACCAAAAATTTAAAACCTAAAAAACCATCCCCACCACCTAAATATTTTAATATATCTTTTACAAATATTCGCGGTCTACGAAGCAACTTTCCATCAGTTGAGTCTTACCTCCTGCAAAATTCACCAGACTTGCTTGCACTCAGTGAAACAAATTTAACTTCTGCAATTCCTTCTTCAGATGTCAGTGTTGATGGGTACTATCCTTTGATTCGTTAAGACTCCAATAGTCACATGCTAGGTTTAGGGGTATACATACGCATTAATTCCCCTATTTGTCGTGAAATCAGGTTCGAATCCTTTGACCATTCTTTTATGTGCTTTTGCCTAGCACCTCTTCACTCTATCACCTTTCTCTTTGTTCTTTATCGTTCTCCTTCTTCCCATGATTGCACTCTTTTAGATGTTATCTCTGATCAAATTGACCATGCCCTCTCTCTTTACCCCTCTGCCAATATTGTTGTTGTTGATGATTTTAATGCCCATCACACTGAATGGCTTGGCTCTAACACCACTGATCCTGCTGGCACTAAAGCCTTTAACTTCTGCATTTCTCAATCTCTTACTCAGATAGTTAACTTTGTGACTCGTTTTCCTGACAACCCTAATCATTTACCTTCACTCCTTGAGTTATGTCTTGTCTCTGACCCTAGCTTATGTTCAGTTTCTCCCTTTTCTCCCTTAGGTGGTTCTGACCATGCAATGATCTCTATAAATCTTTCTTCTCGTACTTTTTTTTTGGGCTTACCTTATCATCGCACCACCTACTACTACCCTTAAGCTGATTGGGATTCCTTTCGTGATTTTCTTCGTGATGGTCCTTGGGCTGATGTTTTTTCTCTCTCAGCTGACAAATGCGCCTCCTACGTAACCTCCTGGATTCAGGCTGGAATGGAAGCTTTTATTCCTTCTCGTCGGTTTCAAGTCAAGCCTCGCTCTACTCCATGGTTTTCTCCTTCTTGTGCGGCTGCTATATCCAATCGTAACCATTTTTTTCATCTTTTTCAAAGGAACAACTCTCTTGAGAGCAAACGGCTATTTATTATTGCAAGAAATCGATGTAAAAAGGTGCTTTCTGATGCTAAACTCCATTATTCTCAGTTCACTAAATCTCGCATCTTATCGCAGAAGTTAGGCTCTAAAGACTTTTGAAAAATCTTCAACAGCATTGTTAACAAGGGTAGATCTAACACTCCATCTCTCATTCATGGGACTGATCTTGTTACTTTTCCCAGGGATAAGGCAGAACTGTTTGCAAAGAACTTTTCTTCTAATTCCACTCTTAAATCTTATTCTCTTCCTTCCATTCCAGTCAAACAGGTTGACCCATTGTTAGACATTCAAATCACTCCGGCTTCTGTTGCTAAAGTCATATCTCAATTAAACTCGTCTACAGCTTGTGGTCCAGACAACATTCCTGTCACAGTCTTGCAGAATTGTTCTCCAGAACTTTCTTCAATTCTCTCTAAACTATTTAACAAGTGTTTGACTGAGTCTTATTTTCCTGCTTGTTGGAAAATGGCATCTGTGGTTCCAATATTCAAAAACTCTGGAGAAAATTCTGACCCCTCCAATTATCGTCCGATCAGTCTTCTTTCTGTTATTAGCAAGGTATTTGAGTCTTTGATCAACAAATTCCTCACATCTCATCTTGAGTCAAATAAACTGCTGTCAGACAATCAATACGGTTTTCGATCCTCTCGCTCTACGGCCGACTTGCTAACTGCTGTTACTGAAAGATTTTATCGTGCATTAGATGGAGGCGGTGAGGCTAGGGCTATTGCTCTCGACATATCTAAAGCTTTCAACAAAGTTTGGCATGCTGGTCTTCTCCATAAGCTTGCTTCATATGGTGTTTCTGGGAAAGTTTTTGAGATTATCAAATCATTTCTTTCTGACCGGTTTATTAAAGTCATCCTTGAAGGCCAACACTCTCGTTTATTTCCAGTAACTTCTGGGGTTCCCCAAGGTTCCATCCTGGGCCCTGTTTTGTTTCTTATCTACATAAACGATCTTCCTGACAACCTTTCATCTAAAGTAGCTCTTTTTGCTGATGACTCAACTTTATACTCCTGTCTTGACAAAAAGTCTTCTCTATTCGATCGCCTAGAACAAGCAGCTGATCTTGAATCTGATCTCACTTCAGTAATAGATTGGGGTTCACAGTGGCTTGTGAATTTCAACTCTAAAAAGACCCAATTGCTTACTGCAAACATTTACCGTAATATGGTCAACATTCCTATATTAATGAATGGCAATCCTCTTACTGAGTTGTCCTCTTTACGTCTTCTCGGATTATCGCTTACTACTGACCTTTCATGGAAACCATATATACAATCGATTGCTAAATTAGCTTCTGCTAAGGTTGCTTCTCTTTATTGTGCTCGCCATTTCCTTACTTCTGATTCCATTCTCTACCTCTACAAGTCTCTTATTCATCCCTGTATGGAATACTGTTGTCATATTTGGGCTGGTTCTTCTAATGATTCACTTTCTCTTCTTGACAAGGTCCAAAAACGCATTGTAAATGTTGTTGGACCTGGACTATCTGCTAAGCTTGAACCTCTTTCCCATCGTCGTAAAGTTGCATCTCTTTCTCTTTTCTACAGATACTATCATGGTCACTGCTCAAAGGAGTTATCATCTCTAGTTCCATCAACTAAAATTCATTCTCGTTTTACTCGTCATTCAGCTAAGTCTCATTCGTTTACTGTATCTGTCCCTGCATGCTCTAAAAACTTTTATTCATCTAGTTTTTTTCCCCGCACTTCAATCCTTTGGAACTCTCTCCCATCTTCATGTTTTTCTGACTCATACAACCTTCAACTTTTCAAGTCTTCTGTCAACCGTTTCCTTGCTCTATAACTCTGTTCTTTTTTTTTCCTAGTAACTCCCAACTTAATAGTGGTTGCTTGCAGCCTTGTTGGGAGTGAATGCAAATAAAAAAAAAAAAAAAAAAAAAAAAAAGTGATTTTCAAAACAAAGTTCCTCATCAATGCTAAGGGCAGTAGGGCGCCCTACTGATTTACAGTGTTTACTTTTTAGCTTATAAAATAATGTTGCTTTAGGTACTTTATAAATTTTAGAAGCTTTACCAATCGACATTTTTTCAAATTTAATTTTGGCTAAAGCCTCTTGAAGTGTAGAATTGGTGTAATTAGATTTAGTGCCATATTTTCTTGTGCCAGGATGAGTTGTCGAACATTTACTTGGCATAAATATCAAAAATTTATATATTAGTAATAGATAGTATAATTTTAAATATTTATAATATCATATATTATTATATAATAAAAATACTATAATAAAAAGATGCCTATTATTTATTATGTATTATTGCAATGTTACTCAGACAGCAAAAAAAGCATTTTTGGAAAATATTGATTGTCTAAAGTTACCCTGAATTTGGTTATATTTTAGCTAAGTGGAAATAAATATCCTTTTTGTAGCAAAAAACATGTTAAATCCTATTATTTTGAGTTTGTATTAAAGTTCAAAAAATAATTCAATAAAACACTTAAAAATCTATTCAGATAATTACAATATAATACCAAATATTCTAAATTGAAAACACACGATGTTATCACCACATTCGACTGTGTAACTGGAAATGGAGGAAAACATTATTTTTAAGAAATAAAATTTAATTTTCTTTGGTCAAACTTTTGTAAAAAAAGATAATTCATCATGTTATTCTTTGTTAAAGCAACAGGCAAAGAAAATACCAAAGAAAAAAAATTTAAAAACATTTACACGTTTAGTTCAATGTTACCCGCAAATTCAAAGTTACCCAGAATGACTGTATAAATTTTTTTGCAAATGTATTAAAAAAGGATGTACCGAAGCTGCAATTTTGCCGAAGCCGAAGCTTCGGCCGAAGCCACTTTGCCGAAGCCGAAGCTTCGGCTTAAGTTATACGTAATTTAAAGCTCAATTTACTTCAACACGGTGATTTGAATAATTAAGTTGTTTTTAAAATTATATATCAATGTTTTAGGTTTGAATGTTTTGGCCTACATGCCCATTTTAGGAAAGTTATAAAACAAAACCAATATTATAAAAAATTTAAACAAATTTTGTACAAAAATTTAGAGAGTAAAATTTAGAGTCTTAACTCTATATATCTAACAGGTATAGGAAAGATTACATCGCTAAATCTTAGACATTTACTAATACTTAAGGTAAATTATGGTCTATTCTTTGAAAGAATTCATAAAAATGTAAACACGTAAAATGTAAAAATATAAAAGTAGTCATTATTTTAATTTGAACACAAAATTTGGTATTTGTTTTAAATTTTGTTAAAAAGTTGAATCAGTTGAACTAAGAAGCTACAGTCTATTATTGAGTTAATTTAGTTAATAATAATTTATTCAATGAAAGCAGGCATACTACAATTTAAAAATGTTTTAATATGCATACAAGCATTTCAGCAAGTTGCCATTGATTTTCCGTAGGATTTTTTGCATTTGTTTGATTTCTGGTAATGCAATACAATATAATAGCTTTTTTCTGCTCAATGAACCTTTCAAGCATATAGTTATGTCGAATTTCATCTTGTGGAAACATCTTGAATTATGTTATGCTCTGGCAATTTTAATTGACTTTGAATTTCCTTTAGTTTAGCCACAGCACTAGATGAGTAGTGGAAATGTCCTGCTAATGCTCGAAAAACAGCTATTGTATCACTTGC